AAAAAAAAAAATAATAAGTAGCCTATGTGTTCTTCCACACTATATTTTACATCTATACCAAATTTTATCGGGATCCGTTGAGCCGTTCCGGAGATACCTTCAAACAAACATCCATCTAAACATTCGCATCTATGTATATATATAAGAAAGTCGTGTTAGTTACATTATTTATAACCCAAGAACGCCATTACCGATATGCCTGAAAATTGTTGAGGAGGAAGCTTAGAGCCAGGAGACGGACATAGGATACTATTTTTTTTTTTCGAATTTATGCCTTGATGAGCTGCCTTTATTTAACTTATCGATATATATAGTTTTTATACGTCCACGCGGACGGAGTTGCGGGCGACAGCTAGTTTATACTATTAGTAAGAAGTAAAATGAAAGTCATAAAGGTATCCATTTATTGCTCCTTAATACCCATGGATTTTGGATACGTACTAAATCAAGTCGACAATAATATCACACAAATCTATATCAAAGCGAAATATAATACATGTATAATAAAAACAAAAGTACAAAAACATCCGTAAAAACGTATCTATACAGTATACTCGTCCAAAGAATCTTATTTTCGAAAATATCGCTGAAACGACGTCCATTCCTTGAGCTCTGTGCAAATGGAGCGACTTAATTTTCTTAGACAAAGGATACGCCGCAATGTAATACGAAAGGAAATGGCAGCCGTTTCGTTTGTTTCGTTGCCACGGTGAAGGCATTTCCTTTTTACGACGTAGCCTTGACGTTTATTTTGTTGTTATTTATTAAATCAATTCTTTCAATAAACAAAGCTATAAGTAGTTTTAGAATATTCTAAAAGATAGAAACTAATTCTTATCAAAGCTTAAGAATAAAAAAATAAAAAAAGAAGTTGATTCTGTATTCCATACTTTATATATTACAAGTCAAAAAGACAAAAAACAAACAGATAAGTTAAATAACGAATTAATCACTACCCATAGACTCCTTACTAATATTATAAATGCGAATGTTCGGATGGATGGATGTTTGAAGGTATCTCCAGAACGGCTGTATGCATCTCGCTGAAATTTGGCATAGATATAGAACACAGTCTGGAAGAACACAGGCTACCAATTACGATTTTTATCTCGCGATCAGAATCGCAGGCGACGGCTAGCCTAATATTATAAGTAAGAAGATTACATTATCAACTGCTACAAACAGAGTATAAGACATACAGAAAACGAATTTCCCTTCCCTGTACATGTTAAATTTACTCATGAATAAGGAACTTTAACTATACAGTTAATATGAGCTTATTCAAATTGCCCTGCATATGACAGCTTATTTCCGGTGCATGCATAAATTATACTCGCATATGCAACATTTCGTGCAAAATTCAAACAGTAACATATGTTTTCATACGAGACGTATTCTAATTATACATAAATAGTACTTTGTAATATTTTGAACATAAAACGAAACATCGTCATCTCTGAATTTGAATAGCTACATAAAAGATTTACTTTTTAATACATTGCTAACGAAATCAAGGAGGATATAAACTACAGGCTGTCACCCGCAACTCCGTTAGCGCGGAATTAAAAAAAAACTTAATTAGTAGCCTATGTGTTCTTCCAGAATATGTTCTATATTTTAGCCAAATTTCAGCGACATCCATGCAGCATGACCTTCTAATAACAACATGACGCGCCAATAGCCTAATGGTTAAGGATACGGATTTCCGATCATAAGGTCGGGGGTTCGAATCCCGCCATTTGACTATTGTCGTAAACCATGTCCTAGCACAAGCATAGAGCTTAGTTGGAATGGTACAAGAAATATTAGTAATTACAAAAACCCGCTTATATTATATAAAAAAGAAACATCCATCTAAACTTTGTTATTTATAATATTATAATAGTAAGATTGTTTTGTCTGCAAACTCTATTTTTGTATAGAAATCACAGTATTGGAAACCCAAGGTTAAAATAAGGAGTCGTTCATAAAACTTAAGGCTAACAACGATCTTGTAATTAAAAAATAAGTGGCTTAGTGAACGTAATGAACAATTTTATTAGCGTCCAAATATCTTAAGTCGGTGCATGTAAGCCCGGACCATAAAAACAAACTAATCCTGTTTACGTCGTATACCGCAATTTCCTGTTGGAACTATAAAAAGTGGTTTACAACAACGCTTATAACGACATGCTTGTAATTTTCTTTTTTATAACAATCAGTAGAGGACAATATAAATGTGAAAGCCTTTAAAAATAGTGCAAATTTATATAAATAAAAAGTAGACAGTAAATAAGCTATTATTTACAATATTTTGAATCATCGGCTCACTATATATCCCTACTAAGGGGCTCGGAGCCTATCCTAAGTTAGGAGTCACTAGAACATAGCCACGCTGACCAAGTGCGGGTTGACTTCACACATATCTTTGAATTTCTTCTCAGATATGTGCAGGTTTCATCACCATGTTTTCCTTCATCTTAAGAACGTCAGATAAATGTGCATATGTAAATGGAAAACGAACCTTAAGATTGATCGGTATGTTACCTTAATTTATTTTTATGAGAGTTCATGAATCGATCGACTTATCACGATAGACCAGAGGGCCTAGTACGAATATTTGTGACAGTTGCCTTCGTATTGTCATCGCCACATATGACATAATTAGTATGAGTAGGGGGCGCTGTTTTAATTCTAATACAAATTTTGTCGTTGATGATACGATACTGTTTGTCACATCACATATATGTATTCATGCTAGACCCACTGGTCTACGTAAAAATACGTTACTGTCAAACTCAGTCATTTTTTAGTTATTTAAACATACCCTTAGTATAGATTTATCATGCTGATTCATCAAATAGTCTCTTTAACTCTTAATGACCTTGAAATGTACGAGATTATTTATTGAGATTTAATAATTTAAAGTAAATATTTATTTTCTTAAGAACTCCAATTAATAATATTGTAAAAAGTTAAATACTCTACGTTCTAATATAATTGTTATTCAATACAAAGCCACAATCTGTAACACAATTAGGTCGGTCAGCTAACGAGCGCTCGGCTCGTTACTGGTTTGTACAGTACGGTAAAGATACAGCAAGAACAAAATGAGCACATTGCAAACATAGGCTTTCACTGATTGAACAAACACTATTTTATTATTCGTATTAATTCTAATAATGTTACTTGTAGCCTAAACGAATGATTTATCGTTTCTGAATCTTAAACCTCAGTTTATATCAGTCTTTCCCAAAGTGGGCGATACCGCCCCCTTGTGGGCGCTGCAGGTCTCAAGTTGAGGGTTATAGTAAAAGTTTCGTTTAGAATTCTCCGTTAATATACACATATAGGTCACAATAATTAATTAATTTAATTTGAAGTTATAGTGGTTTTTAAATATGTGGAAATATGGGGGCGCTAAAAAAATATTTATTCTCAAAGTGGGTCGTAAACAAAATAAGTTTGGGAACCACTGACTTAGACTGTGTTTCAACTAAGTACACGCAAAATGTATGCGTGGCTTTTGTTTTTTATAGCTTATCGTGTGAGCAGGCCCTTATTTTTCATTATAGACTCCACTAAAGGGACTACAATCTCTTGTACATAATAAAATCTTGATGACTTCTTTACATCATTGGTTCATTGTTTATTGCTGATTGAATTCAATGCAGAACAACATATATAAATATCTTGTGGATTTAATTGAAAACTAGCTGTCGGAATTAAAAACAATGTTAATAAGTAACCTATATGTTCTTCCAGACTATGTTCTATGTATGTGCCAAATTTCATCGAGATCCATGCAGCCGTTCCGAAGATACCTTCAAACAAACATCCATCTACTCAAAACATTCGCATTTATAATATTAGTAAGATGATTTTAACATCTGACTAAAGGGAAGTTAGAGTTTAGCATTTTCAATCGTTAATTAAATAACTTTATTAGTCATCTACTCAACTTCTAATTATTTTTTATACCGTTTTTAACTCATAAGTGACTTTACAACATCATGAAGCTACCAGCGCCATCTATGCTAAATTAACAGCAACTATTTGAAGTTTTACAAAGAGTTGAAATAATTAAATTATTAAGAGATCACTCTGTTCGTCTGTATGTTTACCTATTTCTATAAAGGTTAAACAAATAGTACTTATCCTAACTCAGGTCATTTATTATATTATATATCTAAAGCTGTTTAAAAATAATTTAAACACACCAACTCAATCAAATCCAATTCACGGAATCATTGACCCATAAAAGGGACGATTCTTTCAGATTTAAACAGAGACCTTTGTTAATTCAGTTTTGTAGAGTCGACCCTTTTCTCTATACAAAACACAAAACACAAAACACGTAAAACACTTAACTTCAGAGGCAAATGGGATACATATGTATTGGTATTATAGAGTTTGAGATTTTATTTTAAAAAATGTTTAAGTTTAAAACAAGTAACAATATGTTTTTAAGCGAATTTCTCAGAAACCCACTGTAAATTCTAACGGTTCTTACTCTACTAAACTTCATGTACTATGTTTTTTGGTTAAATTAACTTTATGTTTTACTCCTACATATTTACTTTAACTGTGTCAAATTTTACGTTTACCCATTCGCGCAATTTCCTTAAAAACAAGTACTAAATTTCACATATTAATATTTTCTATATTTACACAACGTAGGAAGCAAGAAAAACTTATAAAAATCCAAAATAATGTAACACCCTTTGAAACCTTTCTGCCCCAGGCCACAAACAAAATTAGACGGCGGCATTTTTCAGTGACGGGAATTGAAATTTTGTTAAGAGAAATTTTTTCTTCACTTTTATTATCAAAGACCCAATTCCCATCTCAAGTTTCAACGGGAACAGACGTTTCTTTATCGTACTTCAATTGTTTTTGAAGGAATTCCTAAAAAAAACGAACAACGAATGTTTTAAATAATATCGTAGTTTTAATTTTCTTATTCATGGTTAAATTCAAACGAAAACTTACTAATATTATAAATGCGAATGTTTGGATATATGGATGTATGGATGTTTGACATTGGTGTAGGACATAGTCTGGAACACATATTGAGTTTGTTTTTAATTCTGCTCGGACGGAGTTACGGGCTACAGCTAGTCTTACATAAAAACTGGCTGTCGCCCGCGACTCCATCCGCCCGGAATTAAAAACTGAACTGCTAGACGAATTCACATGAATTAATCTATACATATTAATAAAATTGGAGTGTCTGTATGATGTATTTGCGTAACTGATAAAGAAATAAAAGTTTTAGCCGCGTTTATTTCGAATAATTTGGAAAACGTCTTGATCGATTTCGTCGGGACTTGGCCATTAACCTATTTATTAATTTGTATTCATTGTTCCAGGTATCAGACGACATCGGGTACGTGATATACTCAGCTCTGGGCAGCTTCTACATCCCATCCTGCATCATGGTGTTCGTCTACATCAGGATATATTACGCGGCGAAGGCACGCGCCAGAAGAGGCATTAGGAAAAACCCAAGGCCAAGGCCTGTAAGTCTATTAACTTGGTTATTTGAGCGTGCCTAATACTGAACTGATTATAATAATAAGATCTTAGGTGAATCACATGTACTAATTGGTAAAGCTGATGTTGCGTTGTAAATCTATGTAATCGAACTTAATTTGTAGACACATCTCTTTTTGTAGAAAGATGGTAGAATATATAAGGAGGAAAGACGATAAGAAAGAAAAGAAGTAAAGTCCGTGGTAACTATAATAATGTGAAACAATCATACACCAAATGAGTGACCGTATTCTATAGTCAAGTCTTAAATGAACTTTAGCTATCGAATTGTAAAAAATACTTTTGAACTTGCTATAAGGAGCATATCACTTATTGCAAATGCAATTTACTTAAATCATTTTATTATTATATTCCAGAATGAACAGCAGACAAGTTTTTCAAATCCGAAAGGCACGCGGCCTATGCCCACTTCATCATCATTACATATGCCATCAGGTGTCGACTCCAGCAACTCCAATAACAACAGGTATTTGGTTACTTTCTCTCTCTTCAGCAACGTGGTGCCCACTGCTGGGCATAAGCTTACTCCAAAGATCGCTGTGACAATCGGTCCTATGCTACCCGCATCCAGGATACTTCTGCAAACTTAACTAAATCATCGGTCCATCTTGCAAGAGGCCTGCGAACTTTTCACTATATTCACCAAAAACGCAAGTTGACAACCAAAAAATCCGACAAACCCTGTGACTCTAAGTAGAATAAAAATCGAAGGCCCATTACTCATTAAAATTGGTTCAGTCGCTCAAAAAATTCAACTTTAAAAGACCCGGATTTTATACTATTAGCTACTTCCCTAATTCGTCGTAAATTAAGAGCACCATGTATATTCCAGGGAGGGTCAGATATCAACGATAGAGACGCAGCAAGTGCCGATCCCGACGGTGACGTGCGACTTCGCGTCAGACATTTCTACGAGTGAGGCAGGTGACCCTGGACCACAGCAGGACGAAAGGAAAGACACGCTAAAGGTTTGTTATAAGACCAATAAAGACATTACTTCTAAGAATATTCTTATGTTTTGGAGAATCTTCATATGTTTTGGAGAAGAATAGTCATTTCGAGATTCCTTAAACTAAACACATTTCGTCCTTAAAAATATCTTGAAAGAAATTTTGATAAACTACAATTTGAGAACAATTATTTGTCATTCCCAGGTGGTCACATGCGCGCAAGTGACAAGGAATCCATTAGCTGCGTGTCCTTACAGAAGTTCAACGTTATCAGTCAACGGGGAATTACAGCTACAACAGTCACAACGAGGAAGGGCGCCTAGTATGGCCATAGACACAGACATGGTTTCAGAACTAGAACCGTCATCGTCAGACTCAGGAGTAGCCACACGGTGTGCTGTAGTAAAGCCTCTAAAATTAAGAATATGCCAACCGATATTCGGTAAAAAATCAGATTCAACAAGAAGGCAGGAGAAATCACAACCAACAAAATCTGAATTAGAACCAGCGCTACCAAAGCAACATAAACCAAGAGATCCAGAAAGAGAGAAAAGAAGATTAGCTAGGAAGAAAGAGAAAAGAGCTACATTGATATTAGGTTTAATAATGGGTAGTTTCATCGCTTGCTGGTTGCCTTTCTTCTTTCTTTATATCTTAAAAGCAGCGTGTAGATGGTGTGTTATACCATCAAGCGCGTTTGCTATTGCCTTTTGGTTAGGTTATATGAACTCTGTATTAAATCCAGTTATATATACTATATTTAATAAGGACTTCAGAAGAGCATTTAGACGGATATTGTTTAAGTGATGTTTGGCTTACCTGTGTTGCTACAGTTGCGTCACGAATCGTATCTTGCAGGCGCAACAGCGGGCAACACCAGGTCTTTATAATGTACGTTAATTTTGACTTTATTGGACTGTTTTAATGTCAGTTGTGTTTGATTTGTCGTATCCATGACGTGATATTATCATCGTGTAGTTTGAATGTATATTTTAAAATAATACAATTATTTTATTAATTGTAAGTAGTTTATTAAATTGTTATTATTTTTTAATTATTTTGTTGATTATTTATATTTTTAGGCTATTTTAAAAAATGCGATTATTTCCTTATTAAAACCATTACATAGTTAAAAATTAATATTTTTAAGAGGAATTGTAAAATAACTAGTAGATTTATTTATAATCTTATAATAAAAATTGTATAAATAAATTTAAAAACTGCAAAATCACTGATGGATTTGAATTGTAGTATGTATTATTAGATTTTCATGTAGATTATTAAAAATTTAATAACGTTTTATAGCTTTAATAATAATGAATATTTTAATAGCTTCAATTATTCTATAATTAACTAATTATGTGAGGGAAATTCCCTCACAACACATACGCTTATAATATGTACAAAGTTATCTGTTAGTTAATTCTTTGCTAGTATAATAATATCCTTGTATGAAAATTAAAATAGAAAGTAAACAGTTTTGTCATCAATTTATTATTACTTCGACATATTATATTATATAAAGTTAATCGAAGTTTTCATTGCATTATAATAATTAGCGCAGAAATCACTACGGTATTGAACCTCTTTATTTTGTTAAAATCGTTTAGAAATCTCACCTTCATTATCACCAACTGTAAGTAAAATGACCCATATTGAGTTATTTTTTTTATTTTGTTGAAACAAGAAAAAAAAATCCTAATATTTATGTTCAATCCATTTCAATTTACGATACAAATGATTTAAATTTGTGCTTAAATATTAAAAAAAGATATTCAAAAATAACAATAAATAAGTTTCAACAGCATGTACCTATTAAAAAGAAATAGTTATCTCTGTCTTTTTTAAGCAAAATGAAAAGGATAGTAATATAATTTCGTATAGATATCTCGGCATAGGCAATTCACGTTTATACCATGAAAATGTATAGCTTTACATTACACTTCTAATTATTTATCTTAGTACAACTTAGCGTTGTACGCTTTAAACACCAAAATAAATTGTGTACATTGTAATTAATAATTAAGTTGTAAATTTAATTATTTAATAATACTAAAAAAGAACACCAAAATTTGTATATAATAATAGTAATTATTATTAATAATATTTATATAATAAATTAATAATTTATCTCAAAATTGTATACGCTAAAATGATTATTAGCAATGTTCCTGATTAAGCAATTTTATTCATGCTTTCTATAAACCATAGATAAGTCCTATATAAAAAAAATATTCAAACTTATGACTAGTCATTAAAACCTTTTTTAATATATCAACAAACTACGACTGATTGTAGTTTTTATCATCCCACGTAGAAAAATGTATATAAAGTAGTAATATTTAATAATATTAAAATGACAACGACAATTTAATTCTAAATCAATGTTATTAAAATCTTAATAATTATTAAGTAACACCATTTGCCGATCTAGTTTTTAAAATTAGGAAAAAACGTAGTATTAAACCGAGATTGAATTAAAATGGCGGACAACACTTTACTAACAAATCTTTGTAACTTAGAAGTCTTATTTTTGTCTTGTAAAAAGTAATCATCAGCTCACTATACGTCCACACCGAGGGTCTTGGAGCCTACCCAAAGTTAAGTGTGATTAGGCCATAGTCAACCACGCTGGCCCAGTGTGGGTTGGTTGACTTCACACATATCTTTGAATTTCTTCTCAGATATGTGCAGGTTGCATCACGATGTTTTCCTTCACCGTAAGAACGTCGGATTAGTGTAAATAATATGTAAGTCGAAAATCGAAAAACACATTGGTACATGGCGGAATTCGAACCAAGGACCTGTAGATTACAAGACAAGTTCTGAAATCCCTGATCCAGTCATTTCACACAATTGAATATATAAAAGGTAGCAAAGTTTTTTCAAGCAATTTATACTAAGTTCTTTTATTAAGAAGTGCGTCATTTTAAATCAATCTTGAAAAGATTATTAATTTTTAATTCAGATTTTTTAAAATCAATTCCAACTTCGATACTTCAAATTCTCTTCTGATCTTTTATAACCAGTGTCATTAGAAATTTTGTATAATAATAGAAAGCTGGATTTGATTTTAATATATTTGAATTTAAAATTATTAATCATTTAATTGTGTACTGAAAGAAAGCAATAGAACAAATTCATTTCGTCCTTCATTTTTTGTAACATTTTCATATTGTCTTCCAATGTGTGTGTGATCTAAAATATAGTATAGCAGATTTCTATTAATTTTTAATAATTATAATGGATATTTAATTTTTACATTTATTTCAATAATAAAAACAATGCAGCATAACATTATATCAACGGTTCCGTTACATATAGCTATGAGCCCTCGCTATTTGTATAGGTACTGTTCCAATTTAAAGATTAGAAACATGTTTCCCGTCGGAACATGTTTGTAATTTTACGGATATGTTTCTGTTTGTTACGTTCAAGTATAAAATGTTTTCCATTTAATATAAGTTAATGTACAGATTTCATGCATATGTATATAATTTGAGGACATTTTATTAGTTACATAAAATACAATGTTCGAAATTTAAAATTAAATATTGTTTTATTCATTAAGATAATCTGTATTATATATTAGATTTTTAATAATTATTGTTCTAAAATTTTAAATTATGAATACTATTTATACGAGTACTATAACTATATTGTAATCTAGAATTTGTTAAATATTTATTTAATTAAAAAAAAAATAAACATTGTAATTGTGTTACGTTTACATCTTTATTAAAATCGGTTAATAATACGATAACTATAAATTCTTATCAACTCAAATTGTAAATGAAAAAATATACGAAGTACCAAATATACAAATTTTAATCTTTGCAATTTGTTTTCTTTTATCTTCCGTAGTTAGTTTAAAAAAAAAACCTCACCATGACACACCTTCACACGGAGCCTAAAAAAAAATATACGCATCGAGTAACCTCAACTATATTTATTATTTAGTTGTCTTACTATCAAATATATTACCTAAATTTCAATCCCAATTTCTTAAAGTAGATAGTAATCTCAGTAGGTAAAAATAATTGAATTATAGCTTGTGTCACCCAGGGACAGTGTAGCTTCCCAACAGTGATAGAATTTTTCCAATCAATTCAGTAGTTTCGGAGCCTATTCAATGCGAACAACCAAACAATTCCTACTTCACAATTAGTATAGATAGAAATTTGTGAGAGTAGTAAAAATACGTACATTAAAAGTAGAAAAAACATAATTCTGATTTTAGTAACTGTAGTGGAAACAGAAACATAAATATAAATTTCATCACGTTCTTGTCGAAGGCGATACAAACTCTGTAATCAATAACAAAGTTTCGTGTAAGTTATATTGAACAATGATATTCGAGTTGAAATATAGTTAACATCGGCCATTTGTGACACACAGCGCTTGCGGTTAGTTAGCAAAAGCATAAAAATAAAAAAGTGCAAGTGTAGAAGTGTTTCGTAAGATACCATTCTCGAAACACTTGTACAAAACACTTTCAAAATAAAAAATACCTCTAACCCTTATTGTGGCAAGATTTCGTTTTTGAAGAAAAGCAAAAAATACGCAAAAGCAAAGATAAGTTTAATAAAACTAAGTTAAAAATGATTTTATAGTGATCGTATATTTTTATAGAGTTGTATGTATACTATACAAAATGAACATAAAGGCTAATAAAGAGAGAAAACTATGATTGACTATTAAAAAACCAAAATAACCCATAGAATTATTACAACATACAACGCGTACATAATATTAAACTAATTTAATCTTACTAATATTATATATGCGAATGTTTACATGTACGGATACGAGGACGTTAGTCAGAATTTATCTCAGGAACGGTTCAACAGATCTTGCCTCTGCGCTGATGGAGTCGCAGGCTATAACCAGAAACAAAACAAGATACATAAGTAAACTTCTGATTCAATACGTATTGAGATTGTATTTCTTCTTTTTGATATTGATCAGAAAAGATATGCGTTATTTTCCCTTCCTTATTTTAGACTGTTTTTCATTTATTTCCTTCCTTATCCGTTGGCAAGAAGACAATGAATTAAGCTAATTAAGTGCATATGGCCAATAACTAAAGCTGGCATTAAAATGTGACTTCTAAAGAACTAAACTTTAAGTCTGATGCTCGATTTCTTTAGTTGTACAAACGCAATGTCCGTGTGTCGATAACAAAGTTAGCAGACAAGTAGACATCGACACCGCGGGGGAAATGTCCCGCTGAACTACGAAGCCACGTAATTGAAAATACGATTTCAAATTTATGTTTACCCTAATAAAGTTGATAAACTTGGGAATTATTGAGTAGCAAGTGTTGCTATGTTCAGTTGTTAACTTTAACAGTTAATTCTCACTACTAAACACATGCGTGTCATCTCATCACTAAAAAAGCGTCAATAGCCTAACGGTTAAGAGTACGGATTTCCGATCATGTGGTCTGGGGTTCGAATCCCGTCTTTCCACTATTATCGTTAATAATATGCTAGCAATAGCATAGAGCTTAGTTGGAATGGTAAAAATAAATATTAGTAAATTCCAAAAAAAAAATCTGTTAATATTTAAAATAAATATCATCCAAGACAAGAGAAGGAAACAATTGTAAAATAACTAAGTCGCAGAATTGGGACGTCTTCGTACTGGGCTTGTTAAAGTTTATGCATTGTAAATAGTAAACTTATCCTTGTTGCAAGACGCTCTGAATCATACGGCGAAGGAATTTTAATTAATTAAACAAACTACAGTATTCTAGCTTTATAAATAAGACAGTATATATCCACAAATGTAGACTCAATATCAAA